GCTTTGTACTGGATTGAAAGAAAGTCAAAAGCAAACTTGAAACAAGAAAGCCAAACATGATCGATGATTTACCTGAGAGCTTGCTATTTCAAGAGATTTTCTCCAAACTACGTGATCCTAAAGATGTTATTGTATGCAAAAGCGTGAGCAAACGATGGAAATCTCTCATATCTTCTTTTTCTTCTTTCCAACACAATCCGAGCTTGGTTTTGATCCTCAACACAGAACCTCAATGAGCTACCAACGACGTGTGCTTAGAAGGTTGGAAAGGTTTCGAGTTGAACAACTATGTCCATCCCGAGGTTGATTCTCCAATTTTTTTCTAGCCTCATGCAAAGATGTCTTCTTGTGCATGAAATCTTCATCTAAAGAATTCTACATTGTGAATCCTGTGACTAGGCAATGGACTCGTGTTCCTGAACCCGGTTGCAACTTTGAGGCTCCCTTTTAGATTAATAGGGAATGTGACGAAAGGCTTATCCCATATTGTCAAGTTGATGTCCTCTACATCTTCCGTGTTTTTCCTATTCGTGTTTGATTCTATGCTCGGTACATGGCGTTTCACTCTGGTTAAACATCCACCTTGGTCAGAATCCGGATGGTGTCCAATTCAATACTAAGCCTTGGTCTTTAAAGGAGCTTTACATTGGTTAGCAGAGGATGGGCCTGTGGTGGCTTACAATCCTAATGATCAAAAGACATGCCTATTCATCCATCGCTCACAAGAGATACATCATGCTTATTATGGTGGCGACGCAGCTGTTTCAGAGACCTTAACCATCTCCATGAGCCATCTACGCATCCTTCAGCTCGTTGAAGCTGCTGGTCATCGCCATCTCTCGATTTGGACACTCGTGGACTACAAACAGTCCATATGGAAACAAGAGCATGATCCTATCTCTTTCACTGACCTTCCATGGCTGCAAGACTGGAGAACATCATCTACCCAACACAATACGTCCTTACTCTTGGTTGGTTTCAGGAAAAATCAAAAAACCAGAGAGCGCATTCTTTATCCACAACCTTTATGTTGTCATCCATACAATCCGCAGCTCGTTTACTTTTGTTTGTCCGAAAGTATCGTCTCTCTTGATGTCGCAACAAAGAAACTGCAGTTAATTACAAGACTCAGCAAAAGAGGCACAGAAGGCGTTTACTGGAACCAATATGACAAGGTGATACCAATGACAATGCAGTTAGATCCCTCTCTAGTTCCAGACCATGGCCATGTACTGTAGCCACGTCGTAAACACAGATTCTTCAGAGATTAGATCAAACTGAATGTAGATACTATGTGTCGCCAAACTTCTTGTTTTTCGGATAAATAGATTAATAAGTACTTATGTTTCTCTTTCAAAAAAAATTCTAGTATACAGCTACATTATCAAATTCTCTTTATATACTAGTCACCAATTTTAGCAACTTGGACATAATGCCTCTAACTTGCCTTAATAAATACAAAAGTTGTGGGAAGAAGATAATCTCACTTAATAATGGATTCGGCTTAATATTGATTAAAATGCGACTGATCCCATCTTCTCAAGTAACCTTCTTTCTCTTGTGCCTGTCTCAATCCATTCATCTTCCCATTAACCTCTATCCAGATCCCTGCTCCTCACATAGTTTCCAGCAGTGAAACACCTTTAGTTTCGTTTTGAGAGACCTTGCACTCTAGTTCTTACAAAATTATGCTTCCACTTTAGAATCATATGATTTCCACTACGTTTCTCAACTCAACTTGTCTGCTCTCGACGCTCAAGACTTGTGCAGCCAGACAGCTTAAGCTTGAGAATAGATCGTGAGTTCTTTATTCCCAATGGCAGTTTCTGAAGCCTTGTACAGTTTTCCGAATCTAGCGTACTAAGTTTCGTGAGATTCTCGATTGACAATGGAAGTTCTTTTATGGCAGTTCCAGCTAGATATAACTCTTTCAAGTTTGGTGCAAAATCCTGAATCTCCTGGAGCTCTGAGCAGCCAGACAGATTAAGAAGCTTGAGAGATGTCAAATCAACCATGGCAGGCAAACTTCGCAAATGAGAACAGTCATTCATGTTCAAGGACACAAGCTTCCCACAACGAGGAATAGATGTGCTAACATCAACCAAACTAGTACATCCCTCGAGATCGATATGTTCAAGGTTCAGGGCTTCTGATAACATCATAACATCAGGATATCAGTTAATTTTTTACAGTGACTCAGGTTGATTTTCTTTAGTTTCTCGAGATTTTGTTTACAACATGAATTACCAAAAAGAGTCATCAGATGAAAGCTTATAAATTCATGTAAGCAGATGATATCAGATACTTACTTTTTTCCCTTCCCATAACTTCTCCATGTTGCTATAAGGCATGTTTACTTCTACAAGGTTCTCAGGATTAAATTTTTGAGGTAAGTATCTCAGAGGGTAATTCTCCCAGTGAAGTAGCCTTAGCTCTTCAGGCAAAGTATCCAGGCCTTGAGGTAGACTTAGCTTGCAG